CCTCATCATTTGAAAGGGTTTCACTGATGGAGGGCATGTCGTTTTCACAAAGTGGCTCTCACTTAGGCTCCGTGCACATTCGTTTGTTTTAAAAAATGCAAGGTTTTCGCGGATGGTTGGCGGCTCTTTTTCAACATGTGGCTCTCGCTCTAGCGCCGCGCAAATACGTTTTCATATATTTACAGCAGTTTCAAGGATGATCAAGGTTAACGTCACAGAGATAGTTTTTCTGGTACGATGTCGGACTGTCAGGTCGCAGCAGTTATGTTGACTCGTGGCGTTGCAGTCCTAGAGTGTTCTGGCACGGTTCGGGATCGTCAAGACGTAACAGTAACGGTGATTCGCGGCGCTGAAGTCTCAAGAATGGTGTTCTGGCACAGTTCAGGATTTTCAAAGGGTTGTCTTCCAAAGTGGCATTTCCTTCCCTGAAAATGCACCCTTGTAGAGGCCTGCGAAGAGGGAGCTTGTAGGCAGGGTTTATTGCAGACTCGCTGATGGGTCTTGGGTTTGCCCTGGTCCTCCTCCTCCTCCTCCTCCTCCTCCTCCTTGTGTCCCCCCCCCATCCAGACCCCTGACGTCGCGACCCCATCTCCAGCACCAGCTTCCTGTCGCTGTCCCCTGTCTTGTTTGTCCCTGGGCCCGCCCCAGATCGTGGAGGCCGGGAAAATTTAACTGTTCATGGGGTCCCTTTGAGCGGGGTGGATGGACTGGCTGGCTGATGGGGGAGGGCGAAGGGCAAGCAGCACAGGCAGCAGCGGGAGCACTCGCAGCTGGAGCTGCTTCTTGTCGTGGCGCCCCCCTGAGATTCGGGGTCCCTGCGCCGCCGCCTCCTCGTCCTGTTCCCTGGAGGTCTCCAGGGGCTATCTTTTTTTGTTTGTCTTGGGTATCCGTGCTTCCATGTTTCGGTGGGTGCTGTATATATCAAGAACGCCGGCGGCGCATCACCGGCCGCTCCCTGGGAGTTTGACGCATTTGGTCGGTAGTCTTTTGAAGGCATTTTGGAAGCCTCTTTGCGGGTTCTTGGGCGCCATTTGGGGGCCTCTTGGGTTCTCTGTTGGGCCTCTTGGGGGCTTCTTGGAGGCCTGCTGGCGGTCTAGGAGGTCCCGTTTGGGCAGAACACTGGAAATGTGATATCGATTCCTGGCTCTAGGGTCCTCTTGGGGCTTGTGTGTGTGCGTTGTATACCTCTATATGTATGTATGTATATATATGCATATGTATGTATATATGTATGTATGTATGCATGCGTGCATGCATGTATGTATATATGTATGTGTATGTATGTATGTATGCATGCATGCATGCATGCATGTATGTATGTATGTATGTATGTATGTATGTATGTATATATGTATGTATGTACGTATGTATGTATGTACGTATGTGTATACGTACATGTATGTCTGTCTGTCTGTCTGTCTGTCTGTCTGTCTGTCTGTCTGTAT